ATGAGAACAATCCCTTTGCGGGTGCCTGGGTGGCTCAGTCATGAGCTCAGTGTCGTGAGATAGAGCCCCACATTGGGGGTTTTCTTCTCAAGTGTGCAGTCTGTTTGAGATCCTTTCCCTCTGTCCCTACCCCCACTCATGTTCTCGCTCTCTCTCACTAAAATAAATCTTGTAAAAAAAGACAGAGAGAGGGGCGCCTGAGTGGCTCAGTGGGTTAAGTCTCTGCCTTCGGCTCAAGTCATGATCTCAGGGTCCTGGGATCGAGTCCTGTATCGGGCTCTCTGCTCAGCAGGGAGCCTGCTTCCCACCCCCCCGCCTGCTTCTCTGCCTACTTGTGATCTCTCTCTCTCTCTCTCTCTCTCTCTCTATGAAATAAATAAATAAAACCTTAAAAAAAAAAAAAAGAGGGAGAGAGAGTGAGGCACCTGAGTGGCTCAGTTGGTTAAGCATCTGCCTTTGGCTCAGATGATGATCCTGGGGTCTTGGGATGGAGCTCCTACGTCAGGCTCCCTCCTTAACAAGGAGTCTACTTCTCCCTCTCCCTCTTCCTCTGCTCATCCCCCAACTCATGTTCTTTCTCAAATGCTCTGCTGTCAAATAAATAAAAATCTTAAAAAAAAAAAAATCTGCATCAAAAACAAAATACCTGAGAATAAATTTAACTGAGGTGAGAGATCTGTACTCTGAAAATCTTAAGTTAAAATGTCCATACTACCCAAAGCAATCTACAGATTCAAAGCAATCCCTATCAAAACACCACCAGCATGTTGTAGAGATTACTTAAAAAATAAAAACATAAAATAAAATCTTTTTTTAAAGATCTTATTTGTTTGACAGAGAAAGCAAGCGCAAGTAGGCAGAACACTAAGCAGAGGGAGAGGGAGAGGCAGGCTCCCCAGTAAACAGAGAGCCCAATGTGGGGCTTGATCCCAGGATCCTGGGATCGTGACTTAAGCCAAAGGCAGACAAGACAAGACACTTAACTGAGCTACCCAAGTGCCCCAAATTTAATCTTTAAAAAAATAAATAGAAGTGGCTGCCTGGGTGGCTCAGTTGGTTGAGCAGCTGCCTTTGGCTCAGGTCATGATCCTGGAGTCCCGGGATCAAGTCCCGCATCAGGTTCCCAGCTCCACAGGGACTCCAATCTGACCTTCTTCCCTAACGCATGCTCTCTCTCTCTCAAATAAATGAAATCTTTAAAATATATAAATAAATTAATTAATTAAAGTCAATTTAAAAAATTGATCTTTTTAAAAAAGATTTTATTTATTTAGTTGAGAGAGAGAGAGAGAGAGAGAGAGAGAGACGTAGTACAAGCAGAGGATGGGCAGAGGAAGAAGCAGACTTCCTGCTGAGCAGGGAGCCCAACAGGGGGCTCGATCCCAGAACTCTAGGATCACAACAGGAGCTGAAGGCAGATGCTTAACTGACTGAGCCACCCTGGCTGCACCCCCCTCAAAAGTTTTTAATTAAAAATATTTTTTGGGGGGGGCGCCTGGGTGGCTCAATGGGTTAAAGCCTCTGCCTTCGGCTCAGGTCATGATCTCAGGGTCCTGGGATCGAACCCCACATCGGGCTCTCTGCTCAGCAGGGAGCCTGCTTCCCCCTGTCTCTCTGCCTGCTTGTGATCTCTCTCTGCCAAATAAATAAAATCTTCAAAAAAAGTTTTTTTTTTATTTAATCCAGCAATTCTTCTAAGTGTCTACCCAAAGAAAACAAAAACTCTAATTCAAAAGAATACATGCACCTCTGTGTTCTTCATTATTTACAATAGCCAAGATATGGAAACAATCTAAGTATCCATTAATTGATTAATGGATAAAGATGTAGTGTGTGTTTATATACTGTGTGTGTATATATACTCAGCCATAAAAAAAGAGTAACATCTTGCTATTTGCAACAACATGGGTGGATCAAAAAGATATTATGCTAAGTGAAGTCAGACAGAGAAAGACAAATACTGTATGATTTTACTTATATGTAAAATCTAGGGTGCCTGGGTGGCTCAGTTGTTAAGTGTCTGCCTTCAGCTCGGGTCATGGTCCCAGAGTCCTGGGATCCAGCCCCACATCAGGCTCCCTGCTTAGCAGGAAGCCTGCTTCTCTCTCTCCCTCTCTCACTATCTGTCTCTCTGTCAAATAAATAAGTAAAATGTTTAAAAATCAAATCAAATCAAATTGAATCGAATCTAAAAAACAAACAACAAAACAGAAAGACTCAAAATACAGAGAACAGGGGCACCTGGGTGGCACAGTTAGTTAAGCCTCTGTCTGACTCTTCGTTTCAGCTCAGGTTGTGATTTCAGGGTCATGAGATCAAGCCCTGAGTCAGGGTCTAAGATCAGTGCAGTCTACTTAAGATTCTCTCTCCCCCTCCCTCTGCCCTCCCATGCTCATGTGAGCACATGTGCTTTCTCTCTCTTTAAAATAAGTGAATAAATCTAAAAAAACAAAAAGTACAGAGGGGACACTTGGGTGGTTCAGTCCATTAAGTATCTACCTTTGGCTCGGGTCATAATGCCAGAAGCCCAGGATTGAGCCCCGTTTCAGGCTCCCTGCTCGGCGGGAAGTCTGCTTCTCCCTCTGCCCTTCACCCTGCTCGTGCTAATAAATAAATAAAATCTTAAAAAAAAAAAAAAATTAATACAGGGGCGCCTGGGTGGCTCAGTGGGTTAAAGCCTCTGCTTTCGGCTCAGGTCATGATTCCAGGGTCCTGGGATTGAGCCCCGCATCGAGCTCCTCCTCTCTCTCTCTGCCTGCCTCTCTGCCTACTTGTGATCTCTATCAAATAAATAAACTCTTTAAAAAAAAAAAAATCCACAGATACTCGGTTCCATATACAAGAACATTCACTATGCAGAGCACGAGGCTGGTTCAGTCTGAAGAGTGTATGACTCTTGATCTCAGGGTTGAGTTTGAGTCCCACACTGGGTAATTTACTTTAAAAAACAAAACAACACAACAGAAAAACAAATACCCACTGTGGCTCTATTTGTAGTAGCAAAACACTGAAAAAACCAAACATCCACCAATGTTACTGGCTTGCATAACTTATACTACTGCTTCCTACTACAATGGAGTACCATGCAGCCATTAAAAATGAGCTACTGTGTTATAAAATGAGCTCCAATGTTATGAAACACTGTATATAGCAAGCTACCCCATTTGTGTAAGGAAAAAGATGAGTGGAAGCATATAACAGTACAGTCAACAAAACTATGAAGATACAGAATCAAGTCCCAGGAAACAGCTAAGATGAAAATTTAATTTTCATTTTATTATATCAGATTTTATAAGTATATCCAAAAACAAAAGCATGAGAATAATGAAAAAATACCAATTCTTTTTTCTTTTTTAAGATTTATTTATTTTAGAGATAGAGCACACCCACAAGCAGGGAAAGGGCAAAAGGGAAAGGGAATCTCCAGCGCACTGTGAGAGCGGAGCCAATTCAGGGCTCAATCCCATGATCCACGACCAAGAGTCAGACATTCAACCAACAAAGCCACCAAGGTGCCCCAATTATTTTCAAACACTCTTAGTTTAGTGGCTTTCAACCTCAGCTGCTATTAGAATCACTCAGAAGATTAAAAAAAAAATCCTTACACCCAGGCCCCACCAGAGAGCACCAGGGTCTGACACACTCAAGCTGGTCTGGAATGGGCCCTTGGGTTTCAGTATTTTTTTAAGTTTCCCAGATGATTCTAATTTTCAGTCAGTGTTGCAAAGTCACTGACTTAGACCAGGAATTAGCAAACGTTTTCCGTAGAGGGCCAGTTAGCAAATACGGTAGGCCCAGTGAGCCACATAAAGTCAGCCACATGTTCTTCCAAGCACTTTTAAAATATAAAAAACCAAGCCCCGTGTTGTGTGTGGTGCCTATTGAAAAACAAATAAATAAATTAAATTAAAATGTAAAAACCATTCTTAGCATCAAAGCATTACAAAAACAAGCTGTGGACCGGATTCGCCCATTGGCCATTCTGCCAACCCCAGTTTAGACTATGCATGATCTGGACTATGGCCTGGACAAGGCACCATGACACAAGGAATGGCCACGAAAAGCCAGAAAGCTGCTGTCAAGAAAATTCTTCAGTGAACTCACAGGTCTCACTCCAGCCCTCTAACTGGCATCCAAGTTGTTCTGGTTTAAATAGGTGAGAGGGCTTTGGACTCACAATAAAAAACTCCCAAGACACATTATACACCAGCCAGTTTATTATTTTGTACTAAGATGGGTAACTCCTACCATGCAGACTGATGCGCCTATGTCAGCATGAAAGCTGCATATTCTTCCTAGAGGCAGTTACACGGAAAACCAACTTAGTATCAAGTTACCTGGCAAGTATGGAATCAGAACAAGAGGAGGCTAATCTTAAAACCTACACCTCCCTCGTCCATAAAGCTGGGGCACACTTTCCCACCACAGAAACAGCCCCAGTCTCCAGTTTGCTGTTGCGTCCTCCCTCCGCATCTTGCTCGGGCCAAGCACTGTCATCTCCTACAGCTTTAGGATCAGCTGCCTTGGCCTCAGAGTCGCATTTCTGCTCACTGTTTTTTTTTTACTGTTACCTCCACGGTTACTGACAGTTAAGGTTCTGAAAGGGGCACATCAGATGCTCCCATGTTCCAACTACAAACAACAATCTTGTTGGGATGCTCTCCCAACCCCACCAAGTTTTACCACCTAATATACTTCATAAAGGTTCTTCCCATTTCCGTAAGTACATACACAGGTTACCTATAAATTTGCCTAATGTAATCTAATTACTACTGAGAATTGAGATTTTTAGTTACAGTTTTTATTCTTTCATTTTCTTGATCAGTGATTTCCAATCACACAGGAGTTAATGAAGCTAATTTTGTGTCACCACTTTTACTAAAACAGAAATACCAAGTGATATGTACTTTTCAGATTAATGTTATTTTGTTCTCTAAAATGTAAAAAACAAGGAAATGCAGTCCTTAAATTAGTACTACTAAGGGTCATCAAAAAAAGTCTCCAAACAATAGAAAAGTTTATGCTTTCAAATTAAAAAACTAAACATATACTGCAAACATTAAATGTTAATATTACAGAAAACAAGATATTTAGACTAACCCCACAGCATTCACACTACACCAGAATTTTAACTGTAACAAAAGGGGATTTTATCCCCAAAAGTAGTTAAGTCCATGCTCGCTGAAAACATCAGTCCTAAACCCCATGAAAGAGGATGAACTACACAGTACATGCTTAGCAAACATATACATTAACCATTCTTAACTGCCCCTTCCCAAAGCTGTGAGGGGTAGGACGGATGAATGTGAACAAATGACAGAATTCTCCAATTATAAAAACTCCATAATGTAACCTTTACTACATCTTGGGCAATAGCTAAGATTTTACCTGTGGGTACCCACCTGTGAAATCACAAAGAAAATCAATAGGAAATGATTTAATATAAAATATACAAATTTCTCAGCATGAGGACTTCCACAGAACAGGGAGAAGGGAATGACAACTAAAATTTTTCTTTTTCTTAAAAAAGAACACTCCCCTTATGTTGTCCTTGCTACTCAACACTCAAAAACAAATCTGTACAAAACTACGAACACAGAAAAGAGCCAGAGAGGATGTTACAATGCAAAGTCTTCGGACCTCTTCTAAACTGCTGTCCTCGCCAAGACCCGTCCTTAACAGAGCTGAGAGTTTCCCAGGTCCGCTGGGGAAAGTAAGTGGCAAGGATCACCACCCCTGCTTCACCACACATGGCCCCAGGTCACTCGCTGTCAAACTTAATGGAATTGACCTGGACAGAGATGGAGCCTCCCCGGTAGCTGCCCCGCTTCTTCTTGGTTTTCTCATGCCGGAACGATTTGCCTTTGGTGAACTTCAGAACCTGATTGGCGCGCTCCCCCCAGTCTCCAGCTGCACCCCGCTGGTAAGCAGAGAGAAGTGGTTAATACACAGAAGGACAACACCAAGGCCCTGTTACTTTCTTCTCCTTGCTCAAGGCAACATGAACCAAAAAGCTGCCCTCTCTTCCACCCAGCCCCCTTAAGAACAGCAAACATGCTCTCCCCTCACCTTGGCATCAAAGGAATTATCTGCCACTCGAGCATCTACCTCAATTTCCTCCTCTCTGATCCTTCGGAAAGGGGATGATGCCCTTTTTTCTCCCTCGAGAAAAATGAAGTGAAAAAGAAATTAGGGGCGCCTGGGTGGCTCAGTGGGTTAAAGCCTCTGCCTTCGGCTCAGGTCATGATCCCAGAGTCCTGGGATCAAGCCCCGCATCGGGCTCTCTGCTCAGAGGGAGCCTGCTTCCTCCTCTCTCTCTGCCTGCTTCTCTGCCTACTTGTGATCTCTGTCAAATAAATAAATAAAATCTTAAAAAAGAAAGAAAGAAAGAAAGAAAGAAAGAAATTAAAGACAGAGTAGCCATTTAACAGAAAAGCCCTCCTTAGCTACACATGTGCGAGAGTGCCAGGCCATGCAGAGAGTTGTCAAGATCTCACGACCCTGAGGGGAAATCAAGAGTTGGAGGCTTAACCAACGGAGCCACCCAGGTGCCCCTTTCTACTCTTTAAAGGCTGGCTCCCGACAAGAAAATAAGATAACTTACTTTCTTCCTTTTTGGAAATGTGTTGGGGGTCTGGGGCTTTATCTTCTTGGCTTGAGGAGTCTCTGCCTCTTTGGCAGCCTCATTCTGCTTCCGCTTCTTTCCTGAACCTACAAAACAAAAAGCCAGACTCAGGAGACCAGCTTCCTATTCCTCCTCCCAGGTTCCCACACCGAGGGCATCCAACTGGAAGCCTAACTGTGGGCCTCCTCTCCCTACCCCATCCCCCAAGTGTATATCCCACCCATACTTGGGAGAACAAACCAAGGAGACAGATTCTTTGGATATAGACCTGGCTTAGAAACTGCTACTGCTGCCTTTTTCTTTTCTTCTTCTTCCTCATGGCTATCCCTGTCTGCTTTTCCATTCTGCGTAGTCACTGCAGAGGTCCCATTGGTCTTGAGGGCTTGTGGCCTTACACTGCCCTTGCCCTTAGGCTTCTCCTTCTCTTCTTCCTCACTGGAATCATCAGAGGAAGAACTGCTGCTGCTCTCGGCCTTTGCTTGCTTTGTGGAAGCCACCTTGGAAGAGGCTACAACTCCTGCTGCCTTCTGTGGCTTCTTTTTAACTGGGGATTTTGACATCTTCTCCTCCTTCTCTTCCTCACTGCTAGAACTATCTGAATCAGAGCTGCTGTCCCCACCACCCTGGGGGGCCTGTTTGGCAGGCAAAGACGGAGCTGCTTTGGCCGCTGCCTTGGACTTGGGGGTGACCACAGTCTTCTTCGTCTTTTCCTCTTCACTAGAACTGCTCTCCTCCTCGCTGGAGCTGCTATCAGCCTTTCTGGTGAGAGGCTTCTGGCCACTACCTACAGGCTGCTTGGGAGCTGTGGCTGGTTTAGCTGCAGGTTGCTTGGGAGTGGCAACTGGCCTACTTGGTAGATTCTTGGTGGTACCGGCTGATCTGGCAGGAGCTTCATCCTCAGAACTGTCAGAGTCTAGACAGAGAGCAAAGAATATATAGAAATCAGACTGAAGAGAGCCCCTGGAGCTCCCACCACCCTGAGGGCCTCCATATACCTCACCTGAGCTGTCTGAAGAGCTCTCTGGTGTTTTCTTTGCTGGAACTGGTTTAGAGGTTGCTTTAGAGATGACTGCTTTAGCTGGAGGTTTCTTTTCTTCCTCAGAACTTGAATCTGGAGAGAACCTATGGCATTAGGCTGGGACCAGAGTCCCAACCCAACCAAAAGCAACAAAAAGGAGGCTGCAAAGACCCACACAGAAACTTAAGCCCTGTCTTGCTTCAGTGAAAAACAAAAGGCATAGAGTCATTTTTGTCTTTTGTATTCCTCATCTACTCCCCCAGGCCCATTCTCCACAGAGGGGACTCACCAGACTCATCGCTGCTGTCCTCACTGCTCTCCACAGGCTGCTTCTTCTCTGCAGCTTTCTTGGGAGCCTGGGTTCCCAGGGACTTCTTGGATGGGGCAGCAGAAGGTGGGGGGACTGAACTATAGGGACCTGTTTTTAAAAAAAAAAAAAAAAAAACAAGGGACACCTGAGTGGCTCAGTGGGTTAAGCCTCTGCCTTCAGCTCAGGTCATGGTCTCAGGGTCCTGGGACCAAGCCCTGCATCGGGCTCTCTGCTCAGCAGAGAGCCCGCTTCCCTTCCTCTCTCTCTGCCTGCCTCTCTGCCTACTTGTGATCTGTCAAATAAACAAACAAAATATTAAAAAACAAACAAAAAAAACGATAGGGACCTGCTTCCCCCTGCTTATGCACACGTGCACATGCTCTCTCTCTGTGAAATAAGTAAATAAAATCTTAAAAAAAAAAAACAAGTGTTGTGGTGGGGCTCCATCCTTACTTAGCAGGAAGTCCACTTGGGATTCTCTGACTTTCCCTCTGCCCCTCCCCTCCCACTCCCACCTTGTGCACATGCTCGCTCGTGCTCTCTAAAAAAAAACAAATAAATAACTTTAAGGAAAAAACAAAACCTCACCTGGTTTTTTTTTCATGGGTTTTTTCTGCTCTTCCTCCTCCTCCTCACTGGAAGAGTCCTCACTGCTGGAACTCTTCTGGGTAGGGGCAGCCGTTGCTTTCACTGGAGCCTTGGCCACGACTTGCTTCTTAGGTACAGTCTGTGTCATATGGAGAAATTTAGTTACCACAGGAAAAAGCTGGTCCAACTAATCTTGCCAGGAAATGGAGATACCCTCACTCCCCCACCTCCCCATCCATCCCCTGGTAGAAGTTATGGCCCAAACCTTCTTAGGTATGGCTGTCGCCACTGCCGCCTCCTCCTCCTCACCACTGCTGCTGCTGCTGCTGCTGCTGCTGCTGCTGCTGCTGCTGCTGCTGCTCTGCTCAGAGGGAGCCTGCTTCCTCCTCTCTCTCTGCCTGCTTCTCTGCCTACTTGTGATCTCTGTCAAATAAATAAATAAAATCTTAAAAAAGAAAGAAAGAAAGAAAGAAAGAAAGAAATTAAAGACAGAGTAGCCATTTAACAGAAAAGCCCTCCTTAGCTACACATGTGCGAGAGTGCCAGGCCATGCAGAGAGTTGTCAAGATCTCACGACCCTGAGGGGAAATCAAGAGTTGGAGGCTTAACCAACGGAGCCACCCAGGTGCCCCTTTCTACTCTTTAAAGGCTGGCTCCCGACAAGAAAATAAGATAACTTACTTTCTTCCTTTTTGGAAATGTGTTGGGGGTCTGGGGCTTTATCTTCTTGGCTTGAGGAGTCTCTGCCTCTTTGGCAGCCTCATTCTGCTTCCGCTTCTTTCCTGAACCTACAAAACAAAAAGCCAGACTCAGGAGACCAGCTTCCTATTCCTCCTCCCAGGTTCCCACACCGAGGGCATCCAACTGGAAGCCTAACTGTGGGCCTCCTCTCCCTACCCCATCCCCCAAGTGTATATCCCACCCATACTTGGGAGAACAAACCAAGGAGACAGATTCTTTGGATATAGACCTGGCTTAGAAACTGCTACTGCTGCCTTTTTCTTTTCTTCTTCTTCCTCATGGCTATCCCTGTCTGCTTTTCCATTCTGCGTAGTCACTGCAGAGGTCCCATTGGTCTTGAGGGCTTGTGGCCTTACACTGCCCTTGCCCTTAGGCTTCTCCTTCTCTTCTTCCTCACTGGAATCATCAGAGGAAGAACTGCTGCTGCTCTCGGCCTTTGCTTGCTTTGTGGAAGCCACCTTGGAAGAGGCTACAACTCCTGCTGCCTTCTGTGGCTTCTTTTTAACTGGGGATTTTGACATCTTCTCCTCCTTCTCTTCCTCACTGCTAGAACTATCTGAATCAGAGCTGCTGTCCCCACCACCCTGGGGGGCCTGTTTGGCAGGCAAAGACGGAGCTGCTTTGGCCGCTGCCTTGGACTTGGGGGTGACCACAGTCTTCTTCGTCTTTTCCTCTTCACTAGAACTGCTCTCCTCCTCGCTGGAGCTGCTATCAGCCTTTCTGGTGAGAGGCTTCTGGCCACTACCTACAGGCTGCTTGGGAGCTGTGGCTGGTTTAGCTGCAGGTTGCTTGGGAGTGGCAACTGGCCTACTTGGTAGATTCTTGGTGGTACCGGCTGATCTGGCAGGAGCTTCATCCTCAGAACTGTCAGAGTCTAGACAGAGAGCAAAGAATATATAGAAATCAGACTGAAGAGAGCCCCTGGAGCTCCCACCACCCTGAGGGCCTCCATATACCTCACCTGAGCTGTCTGAAGAGCTCTCTGGTGTTTTCTTTGCTGGAACTGGTTTAGAGGTTGCTTTAGAGATGACTGCTTTAGCTGGAGGTTTCTTTTCTTCCTCAGAACTTGAATCTGGAGAGAACCTATGGCATTAGGCTGGGACCAGAGTCCCAACCCAACCAAAAGCAACAAAAAGGAGGCTGCAAAGACCCACACAGAAACTTAAGCCCTGTCTTGCTTCAGTGAAAAACAAAAGGCATAGAGTCATTTTTGTCTTTTGTATTCCTCATCTACTCCCCCAGGCCCATTCTCCACAGAGGGGACTCACCAGACTCATCGCTGCTGTCCTCACTGCTCTCCACAGGCTGCTTCTTCTCTGCAGCTTTCTTGGGAGCCTGGGTTCCCAGGGACTTCTTGGATGGGGCAGCAGAAGGTGGGGGGACTGAACTATAGGGACCTGTTTTTAAAAAAAAAAAAAAAAAAACAAGGGACACCTGAGTGGCTCAGTGGGTTAAGCCTCTGCCTTCAGCTCAGGTCATGGTCTCAGGGTCCTGGGACCAAGCCCTGCATCGGGCTCTCTGCTCAGCAGAGAGCCCGCTTCCCTTCCTCTCTCTCTGCCTGCCTCTCTGCCTACTTGTGATCTGTCAAATAAACAAACAAAATATTAAAAAACAAACAAAAAAAACGATAGGGACCTGCTTCCCCCTGCTTATGCACACGTGCACATGCTCTCTCTCTGTGAAATAAGTAAATAAAATCTTAAAAAAAAAAAACAAGTGTTGTGGTGGGGCTCCATCCTTACTTAGCAGGAAGTCCACTTGGGATTCTCTGACTTTCCCTCTGCCCCTCCCCTCCCACTCCCACCTTGTGCACATGCTCGCTCGTGCTCTCTAAAAAAAAACAAATAAATAACTTTAAGGAAAAAACAAAACCTCACCTGGTTTTTTTTTCATGGGTTTTTTCTGCTCTTCCTCCTCCTCCTCACTGGAAGAGTCCTCACTGCTGGAACTCTTCTGGGTAGGGGCAGCCGTTGCTTTCACTGGAGCCTTGGCCACGACTTGCTTCTTAGGTACAGTCTGTGTCATATGGAGAAATTTAGTTACCACAGGAAAAAGCTGGTCCAACTAATCTTGCCAGGAAATGGAGATACCCTCACTCCCCCACCTCCCCATCCATCCCCTGGTAGAAGTTATGGCCCAAACCTTCTTAGGTATGGCTGTCGCCACTGCCGCCTCCTCCTCCTCACCACTGCTGCTGCTGCTGCTGCTGCTGCTGCTGCTGCTGCTGCTGCTGCTGCTCCTTCTTGCTGGCCACTTTCCCATTGGTTAGTTTAGGTACCACGCGAGCTGGCGTACCTGGGAAGGAAAAAAAAATTGGGTAAGAAATACCAAGGCCTTAATGGACCCTGGAAACCTATTAGCTTAGAGCCTAGGAGTCTATCGATTCTCTTGCCTTCATTTTACTTTTTTAAAAGATTTTATTTATTTATTTGACAGAAAGACAGCTAGAGAGGGAACACAAGCAGGGGGAGTGGGAGAGAGAGAGAAGCACGCTTCCCGCTAAGCAGGGAGCCCGATGTGGGGCTCAATCCCAGGACCTTGGGGATCATGATCTGAGCCAAAAGCAGACGCTTAACAACTGAGCCACCCAGGCGCCCCAATTCTCTTGCCTTTACAGAAGGCATGAGGGAAACCGCCACGGCTGACTATCAAAGGATGACCTTCCTGACCAATTTCAAACATAAAACTATCTTTAATAAATGATATGATGTAGTGGGGCTCCTGGGTGGGTCAGTCCATTAAGCATTCGACTCTTCGTTTCAGCTCGGGTCATGATCTCAGGGTCAGTTTCAAGGCCTGCATCGGGCTCTGGGCTCAGAGCGGGGGTCTGTTTGTCCCTCTCACTCTGCTCCTCCCCCAGCTCATGTGTGAACATTCTCTCTCTCTCTCTCAAATAAATAAAATCGCAAAAAAGGAAAAAAAAATGTAAACAATTCAAATGTACTCTATGAAATCTTTTACTCCGACTTCATTCAGAGAAGCTCCTATAAATCATAACCTGTCATCACAAGAATACTACAAGAAAGAGTTTAAATTCTCACAGCTCCTACAGAGTAAATGCACAGGACAGATGGTGGCAATGAAAAGCACAAAACATAGATGTACAAGTGCTCATAACAAAATGGCATTTATAGGAATGTAAATCATCTATTAACAAGAATGGCAAATGGATACTTTTTTAAAGACTTTATTTGTTTGACAGACAGAGATCACAAGTAGGCAGAGAGGCAGGGAGAGAGAGAGGGGGAAGCAGGCTCCCTGCAGAGCAGAGTCCGATGTGGGGCTTGATCTCAGGACCCTAGGATCATGACCTGAGCCGAAGGCAGAGGCTTCAGCTCCCCAGTGCCCTGGGATACCTTTTAAAGATTTATTTATTTTAGGGGGCACCTGGATGGCTCAGTTGTTAAGCATCTGCTTCTGGCTCAGGTCATGATCCCAGCATCCTGGGATCGAGCCCCATATCAGGCTTCCAGCTCAGTGGGGAGCCTGCTTCTTCCTCCCCTGTTCTTGCTTTCTCTCACTGTCTCTCTCCCTCAAATAAATAAAGTCTTTAAGAGAAAATAAATTTAAAAAATAATAATAAAGATTAACTTATTTGAGGAAGAAAGAGCATGCAAGACTGAGGGCACAAGGAGAGGGAAAGAGAGATTTCTCAAACAGACTCTCTGCTGAGTGGAGCCCAACACGGGTCTAAATCCCATATCCCTGGGATCAGGACCCAAGCTGAAATCAAGAATTGGACACTCAACCGACTGAGCCACCCAGGTACTTCTGGATACCATTTTTTAAAACACATTTTTTGGGGGGCACCTGAGTGCTCAGAAGGTTAAGACTCTGCCTTTGGATCAGGTCATGATCTCTGGGTCCTGGGATCAAGCCCCGCATTGGGCTCTCTGCTCAGCAGGGAGCCTGCTTCCCCCCCTTCTCTGCCTGCCCCTGCCTACTTGTGATCTCTCTCTGGCAAATAAATTCTTTTTTTTTTTTTAAAGATTTTATTTATTTGAGAGACAGAGATCACAAGTAGGCAGAGAGGCAGGCAGAGAGGAGGAAGCAGGCCCCCCGCTGAGCAGAGAGCCCAATTCGGGACTTGATCCCAGGATCCTGAGATCATGACCTGAGCCGAAGGCAGAGGCTTTAACCCACTGAACCACCCAGGAGCCCCAAATAAATTTTTTTTTTAAAAAGCAAAGATTTAAAACAAAAAAACAAAAAAACTACATTTTTCCTCACTGCAGACTATTTCTCTAGCTACTAATCCCTAATTATGAAATGTTCCACTTATTAATAAAAACCCTCTTTAAGAAAAAAAAAAAAAGACACTAAGCAGTATTTCTAATTCAACAACCAGTGCCATTTCACCCCTATGCTAAAGGAGCAATTTTTTTTTGAGAGAGGGCAGGCAAACGTGGGCACAAGCATGCACACGTGGGATGGGGAATGGCGAAAAGAACAGGGAGAGAAAGAATCTTAGGCACGCTCCATGCCCAGCGTGAAGCACAACGCGGGGGTCAATCACAGGACCCTGAGATCATGACCTGAGCTAAAGGCAGAAGCTCAACTGACTGAACCACCCAGGTGCCCCTGAATGAGCAATTTTAATACTAGTCCCCAGAGCAAACTAGTCCCCAGCCTGGCCTCTTGGGAATGGAAATAGTACCTGGTTTGGCTGAGGCTTTAGTCTGAGTTTTAGCTGCCACAGGTGTTGTCTTTGGCTTCTGGTTCTTTGGTGACTCATCTTCTGAGCTTGAGTCTGAATCAGAATCAGAGCTCTTGGCCTTCTTAGGAGGAGCTTTGACTGCCTTGGGTTGGGGCTTAACTCCCTTCTGTGAGGAAACACACAATGAAGAGAATCAGCAAGAGGTTCTGGGTACCCAAAGGGCATCCTAAGGTGGAAACCATCCTAGACTACTTTTATTTTTTAGGAGCTAATGGAGAAGTAAGAGCAAATAAATGCTGAGCAAGACGACATCTGAGGGCACCTGGATAAATTAGTCAGTACAGTATGCATCTCTTGATCTTGGAGTCATGAGTTCAAGCACCATGTGTGACACAGAGTGTACCGAAAAAAGACAGCATCTGAAAAGGGCACCAAATTCTTCATGGGAAACAAAAATATTGGGGCACCTGCCTGGCTCAGTGGTTAGAGCATGAAACTTGATATTGGGGTCATGAGTTTGAGTCCCACACTGGGAACAGAGATTACTTAAAAATAATTTTAAAATCTCAAGAAAAAGGGAAAGGACGGATGGACAGATAGATGGAAGGAAGGAAGGAAAGAAGGTGGAAAGGAAGTGAGGGAGGAAAAGGGACTCCTGGGTGGCTCAGTCAGTTAAGTGTCTACCTTCAGCTCAGGTCATGACATCAGGGTCCTGGAATGGAGCCCACATCCGGCTCCCTGCTCAGTGGAGAGTCTGCTTCTCCCCCTGCCCTCCCTTATGTGTGCACACGTGCATGCTCTCTCTCTCAATAAATAAAATCTTTCTAATAATAGGAAAGAAGGGATGCCAGGATGGCTCAGTTCTTAAGCGTCTGCCTTTGGCTTGGGTCCTGATCCCAGGGCCCCAGGATCGAGCCCCACATTGGGCTCTCTGCTCAGTGGGGAGCCTGCTTTCCCTCTCCCAGTCCCACTGCTTGTATTCCCTCTCTTGATGTGTCTCTGTCATATAAATTTTTAAAAACTAACCTTAACAAAAAAAAGAAAGAAAGAAAGAGAAAGAAAAATCCAACCCTGTCCTTGTCATTCCCTGCTTAAGAGTTCCCAATACCTGTCTACAAAACATACTCTTATTTACTCTTGGGATCTTAGTGTCCCAGAAAAAACGAACGCCACCTTGGAAACAGAATGGGTTCCTCTAGATTCAGAGTGCAACTTCACCCTCACATACCCTTTCCAAGCTTCATACTTCTATTTTCTCCACCATGGTCACCTGTTATATATTTTACGTATTTATGTATTTAAAGATTCATTTTATGGGGCGCCTGGGTAGCTCAGTGGGTTAAGCCTTTGCCTTCGGCTCAGGTCATGATCTCGAGGTCCTGGGACTGAGCCCCACATTGGGCCCTCTGCTTGGCGGGGAACCTGACCCCCCGCCGCCTACTTGTGATCTTCTCTGTCAAATAAATAAAAATCCTTAAAAAATAAATAAAATTCATTTTATTATAAAGAAGAGGGGGCATGCACACTCACACACACTTGGGAGTGGGAGGAGGGGCAGAGGGCGAGGGAGGCAGAGTCGCAGAACCCCTGCTGAGCAGAGAGCCCAATCGGTGCTTGATCTCAGAATCCTGGGATCATGACCTGAGCCAAAACCAAGAGTAGGAGGCTTAACCAACTGGGCCACCCAGGCGCCCCTTATTTATTTACCTTTTAAGTAATCTCTACATCTAACATGGGACTCAAACATGTAACTCCAAAATCAAGAGTCCCATGCTTTACTGACTAAGGCAGCCAGGCGCCCCCGTAGTCACCTCTTATACACCCACTGGCATCCCTTGGTTCCAAGCTATTAAGCCAGGACTCTAGGTTTCTTCTTCCTAATCCCTTCAACAACCTCTTTCCTTCCCAAAGATGCAAACCTGAACAGGCTTTTTCTTCTTGTCATGGTCCTCCTCCTCATCACTAGATTCCTCACTGCTGCTGCTCTCTGATGCTTTGGCTGCAGCCTTTCCAGGATGCTGAGGCAAACTGGCCCGCTTGGCAGGTACAGCTGAACAGAACCACAAACCCCAGTGAGAATCAGCCACGTGGTACAGGCAGGCTACAAATACCTTTCTGGGAATCACTAACACCAACTCCTTGCCCAGCCTTACCAGCTTTCTTAGCTGGAGGTCCTTGGGGTTCTTCCTCCTCACTACTGTCCTCACTGCTATCACTGGATGAAGTCTTCTTCTTAGCCTTCTTACTCACTGGTCCATTTGCCTGTACCTTCCGCTTTGGGGCCTTGGCGGACCTGCTGAGGTAGATGAGGCTAACTTTTGGGGGATCAGGATCTTCCCACACCAAGGAACACAGCCCAACTCCTTGGGGGAAAACCAGTCACAGTGATACAGGGAAGACTTACTTGAGCCAGAAGCTGTAGATGTCTAAGAGAGAAGAGGCGTTGGCGTCCTGTTGGGTCTATAAGAGAAAAAAATAACTCAGTAAGAAAATTTTATCCTGGTTGTTCTAGCAGGAAATCAGATTTTTTTTAAAATTTTATTTATTTATTTAACAGACAGAGATCACAAGTAGGCGGAGAGGCAGGCAGAGAGAGAGGGGGAAGCAGGCTCCCTGCTCAGCAGAGAGCCGGATGTGGGGCTCGATCCCAGGACCCTGGGACCATGACCTGAGCCGAAGGCAGAGGCTTAACCCACTGAGCCACCCAGGCACCCCAGGAAATCAGATTTTATTCTCTCTTTAAAAGTGACCTGCTGGGGCGCCTGGGTGGCTCAGTGGGTTAAAGCCGCTGCCTTCGGCTCAGGTCATGATCCCAGGGTCCTGGGATCGAGCCCCGCATCGGGCTCTCTGCTCAGCAGGGAGCCTGCTTCCCTTCCTCTCTCTCTCTGCCTGCCTCTCTGCCTACTTGTGATCTCTGTCTGTCAAATAAATTTTAAAAAATCTTAAAAAAAAAAAAAAAGTGACCTGCTTTGGGGTGTCTGGTGGCTCAGTCAGTTAAGCATCTGCCTTCAGCTCAGATCATGATCTCAGGTCTTGGGATGGGGCCCCGCATCAGGCTCCCGGCCCAGCAGGGAGTCTGCTTCTCCCTCTACCCTCTGCTCACACTCACTTTCTCTCTCAACTAAATAAGCAAAATCTTAAAAAAAAAAAAAAAAAAAAAAAAAGGTGGCCTCTTCTATACCTGCTGTATTTGGTGTAAACGTTACATCTTTGTAAGACTTCTCCTACTTGCACAAATTAAGAGAAAAAAAATCTATTTATGTACTTTCCAATTTTCGACATCAAAAACTTGGGATACTCACAGTTTCTGTCACCATCTATCCCCAGTGAATCCTATTTATGAAAGCCTTTTAAAATATGTGCTTTCCCAGGACACCTGGGTGACTCAGTTAAGTGTCTACCTTCAGCTCAGCTCATAATCCTGGGGTCCTGGGATCCAGTGACAGGCTCCCTGCTCAGCAGGGAGTCTACATCTCTCTCTGCCCCTGCCCCGCCTTGTGCTCACACGTGCGCAATCTCTCTCTCAAAAATAAAATCTTTTAATGTGCTTTCCCTTTAAGCTAGCAATGCATTCGTTGTCTAGGAATTCATCCTTACCCATGAAACAAGAACACTAACAGAAGAGAGCATTTCCTGCAATATGGTTTATAATACCAAATCATTGGAAATCAACCTCCAAAACTGGTTAAAAAGCTAAGTTATAGGGGCGCCTGGGTGGCTCAGTGGGTTAAAGCCTCTGCCTTCCGCTCAGGTCATGATCCCAGGGTCCTGGGATGGAGCCCCGCTTCGGAGCCTGCTTCCCTTCCTCTCTCTCTGCCTGCCTCTCTGCCTACTTGTGATCTCTGTCAAATAAATAACTAAATTCTTAAGAAAAAAAAAAAGTTATATACTCAATACAAAAATTACTTTCAACTATTAATTACACTGATAATAGATTGTAAGTTGATACAAAAAAAAAAAAAAGCAAAACATTGCAGTACCATCAAGAGTACAGGCTCACAGTTACATGTGTATAAATGTGAAACTCACCTCTGCCTGTGTGTGACCCTGAGCAAATAACTTAATCTTTTCAAGACTGTTTATTTCTCTTTAACATGGAGATAATACTGTACATCTTATTAAGTTGTTGAGAGAATTAGGGATAATGCATATAAAGGACTTAGCATCTGGAAACACCATCTGGCCTTCAGTAAGCTTTGCAGAAAGATTAGTTTTTGTTATATAAAAAAATCCTGGGGCACCTGGGTAGTTCAGTGGGTTAAAGCCTCTGCCTTTGGCTCAGGTCATGATCCCAGGGTCCTGGGATCGAGCCCTGCATCGGGCTCTCTGCTCAGCAGGGAGTCTGCTTCCCCCTCTCTCTCTGCCAGCCTCTCTGCCTACTTGTGATCTCTGTCAAATAAATAAATAAAATCTTAAAAAAAAAAAGAAAATCCTGATTCTGAAAAAGACCCAATTCCATCCAGCCCATTGTGAAAATACTTTCTGCAGACTCCCTAATGGTCAATTAAAAAACAGTTCCAATATGAAAGCAGTTGTAGGGGATCACAGGGCAGGCTGTCCCAGCTTAAGGTAACCCTTTCTGAAGCTGATCTGATTCTGTCTTTGCGCAGCCTGATTCTGCCACAAAGAATAAATTTAACTTCTGAGTCAAAGGCTAAGACTGTCAAAGACTACATTCTACCCTCTTTCTTTTTTTTTTTTTTTTTTTAATTATTTGTCAGAGAGAGAGAGGGAGAGAGAGCAAGCACAGGCAGACAGAATGGCAGGCAGAGGCAGAGGGAGAAGCAGGCTCCCTGATGAGCAAGGAGCCCGATGTGGGACTCGATCCCAGGACGCTGGGATCATGACCTGAGCCGAAGGCAGCTGCTTAACCAACTGAGCCACCCAGGCGTCCCCATTCTACCCTCTTTCAAGATGTTTTCCCATGCATCAGGATTTTTTTTTTTAAATTAAAGATTTTATCTATTCATTTGACAGAGAGAGAGCAAGCACAAGCAGGGGGAGTGGCAGAGAGAGAGAAGCAGGCCCATGTGGGGCTTGATCCCAGAACCCTGAGATCATGACCTGACGCTTAACTGACTAAGCCACCCAGGCGACCCATGATTGCTTTTCTTGCGGGAGATTCCAACCCTTTCACATCCCTGGTCCACTTTTTACATGTGTTTGGACCATCCTATATTACCATAAATATGTATTACCAGAACTATGATAACAGCTTTCACTCACTGATGCTTCCTGAGCACCAGGCACTGGGATTGCCACTTCGTATTTATCACGTTACTGAAATTCACAAAAATATTATAAGATGGATGATGGCATCTCTGTAGGAATAGAAACAAACTCAGAGAGGTTCAGCAAGCTGTTCAGGTTACACATCTTAAGAAGTAAGAGAGCCTGGTCCCAAACCTAGATGTGCTTGATTCCAGAAGTCAAAGATCCAAGCCCACTACCTGGTAGGGCTGTGATGCTCAATTCTGCTTTGGTATACCTCTACTCTCACTTTCTTCTTTACTAACGAAAATCCCATCCCCCATTTCTAAAGCAATTTCATCTTTGAGTCCTGGGTAAATTCGACTGAGTTCAGGTCAAGTCACGTTTTGCATCAACCAACGTAAAACCCAAGAAGGAACCAAGAGCCTCCAATGCCTCCGGTGGGACACCACGCTCCCCGCAGCTCGCCGCACTCCGCCAGCCACGTGACCTGGGCCACGAGGAACCCACGCTGCCGTCGCTGCACCGCTCAACAGAAAAAGGCAACAAGATTCAACGCTACCTAGTGAGACCTCGTGAGGTATCAGTTGCCGAGACTCCAGGCTCCCGGGTCACCGCCGAGAGCTCGGCACAAAGGCCCCGCAGATACTGGATTGGAAGACCCTAGAGACCCCGGTACCCGGAAACCTAACCCAGTGAGGGCCGGAAGACCTGTGGTCCTCCCACCCCAGCCCTTGTCCCAAGCCCGCACTCACAGCGCCTGTTGCCTTGGCAAATTTATTGGCCACCTCCGAGAGCTGGTTATCGCGCAGAAAGCCGAGCACGAGGGGATACAGGTCGCTGGGAACCACGCGGCGCAAGCTGGCGTCCGCCATCCTCCGGGCAACACGCGTCACTACCGTTGCCGACGCTCAGGACTCAGGAACTCAGGAACTCGGGAACCCGGGAACCCGGACGAATGGGGACTGACCCCTGTGACGTCATCACGCGGCGCAGACGTACGGCGGAAGGGGCGGGCATACTCCGCAGGGCAGTCCCGCCTCCAATTTGGTGGCAGGATCGAGGCGAAATCTATAAACTCTTTCCGGTGCCACAAGCGTCGCCATCTTGGTGAGGGCGGAGCCCTCTGTCCACCACCTTGCGAAGGCGGAGCCCTGACGTCACGGCTCACGCCCTCGCCAGTGGCGGGAAAACTTTAGATTTCCCGCGCCCTTTCAGCTGGAGCCGCCGTTGTTTTTTTTTTTAAGAGCTGCTGCAACTGGGATTTGCATTCCAGAGTAGAGTGGACCGGAAGGCTTGAGCTGTCTTTGGACTCTCTAGACTCGGCCACAGGATCTCCCAACCACTCCCATTCGCGGCGCCAACCGATTCCCACCCTTCATTTTCCCTTCCTCGAACACCCAGAGAGGCTCTCTATGTCCGATACCATTCCAATTCTCACCTTCACTGCAGAGGATTCTTCAGATTATCCATGGTAATAGTGGTAACAGACAATCCCTAAAATTGCCTCTCTTTCAATCATGATTTGCCCTTGAGACAACCCCTTCCCCCTTACTTACTCATTCAGCATTAAGTCAGCTCCATGAAGGGAAAAGCCATTGTGAATGAACCCTGAGCAACACAGTAGCAATCTCTGCAAACCTATAATCCTAGAAATTGGGGCGCCTGGGTGGCTCAGTGGGTTAAAGCCTCTGCCTTCGGTTCAGGTCATGATCCCAGGGTCCTGGGATCGAGCCCCGCATCGGGCTCTCTGCTCGGCAGAGAGCCTGCTTCCCTCTTTCTCTGCCTGCCTCTCTGCCTACTTGTGATCTCTGTCTGTCAAATAAATAAATAAAATCTTAAAAAAAAAAAATCCTAGAAATTATCCTTCTATCTCCTGAATCACAGTTCACACTTGAACTCTCCCTGTGGGAGAACTAGAAAACCCTCCCAATGCCTCTGTCGTGAGTATTCAAAAATTAATGCCCAGGCCTGCCAAGTTAATTCCAATGTTCCATTACATTTCAGTTCACATCAGCAGGCATCATTCCCTTTACCCACTACCATTTAATTGCTTCCCCATTAATACCTGTCAGGAAAGGTAAGGATCCACTTTCTGGGGGGACATACCTCTCCTTTGCTCTTCTCAAAATAGGCACTCTCCTAGATAAACTCCTACAGATCTCCCTCTTACCCATGTTTATTCACATGTATGCATTCTTCTTTATACCTATTGTGTGCCAAGCATTGTGCTCAAGCTAAAATGGTACATACATGTACACATAAGCCTCGGTTTAGAAAACCTTTATTTGGAACAAGTATGAGCTTCCTCTAGGTCCTTAGTGGTAAAAATCCCTTCCTTGGGACTGTAGCATCAGCATCCCCTTGTTTGAAATGCAGAATCTCAGGCCCCACCCCAGAAGTCAGAATCTACATTCTAAAAAGATCACCAGGTAATTCAAATTTCCTTTTAAACTTGAGAAGCACTGCCCTAGAAAACTGATTTCACTGACAACACATGCTAAGGAACAAAGTTTTAAGTCCAATAGGATTTTGCACCTGACCAAAGGGAGGTCCTAGGAACTAAACGGAGATAACCATGTCCTTGATTGTGTTCAGATTGGAAAAGTGAGTATGTCTGGCACTAGCACCATTAAAAGAAGCACAACAGCACTTGGAATTCTCTCTAGTTCATGTTTATTAGTCTGCATAGTAACTTAGATCTTCCAAACACTGGGGTACCCCTCAGCCCCATCAGAACATAGGAATGCAAGTTAACTTATTTCAATGCCTGTTATAAAAAATGAATAACCCTTTAAAAAAATCTGATTTAACACATTTTTTATTTCACTTTTTTCCATTTCTTTATAAAACAGTCATTTCCTCACTAGCAGCTCTCTCCCCTAAAGTGGGGGAGGGGGGGTGGAGGAGGTTGGACACCTCCAAAGAAAAAGGGAAGGGGGAGAAGGGCCCAGGGTTACCTCCTGAGGTTCTTCTGGGCCTGTTTCAACAATGTGTCAAAGTCAAGAGAATCAAATTTGCTCTTTACAGGAGCAGGGTCAAAGTCTTCCCAGTTGGAGTCTATAAAAATAGAGACAGACATCAAGGTCTCTGACAACACTTCTCTACCACAGGGTCCTCAAACAGCCAGCCTGCTCCCACCCCAATAATGGACAGAAATAATATCACCCTGGTTTTAATTAAAAAACAAAACAAAAGAGCCCCCATTTCTCCTCTCATCCCACCCCCAGGTTCTTTGTGTGTCACATTCAGCATTAAGTTAGCTCCATGAAGGAGAGCCCCACTCTCAAAAAAGCTGGGAACCCTTCTGGGGACAGTATGAAGTATACCAAAGCTTCAGGGTTTCTTCCACTCACCAAGATCAGAATAGCTTCTCTTGCAGAACTGCCTGCGGCCCCCAAAGCAGAGATCAAAGGGTTGTTCATCTGCCTGCCTCAGCTTGTGGCCACTCTCAATGGCTGCAAATGCCTCCTCAGCATAGCGGTAAGTGACGAAGCCGTAGTTGTCACTGGTGAGGAAGATGAGGCAAGGCTAGGATGGCTAACTGGGCACATGCCATGGAAAACAGGTACTTCCCAGGGTACAGAGAGGGACTGGGGTGGTTCTTCTTATTCCCCAATGGCCAACCCTCTGATTGTGGGAGTGAAGCTATCATCCTACATTGCCAAGCACATCAGAGCAAGGGGGAAAGACCAACAAGCATCACGGTAAATGAATGGGAAGGAAAGGACACTCTGACCTTAGGGCCCAAGCTTACCCTTGGACACGGAAGTGGATAGTGCACTCCTCAATCTCTCCGAAAACAGAGAACCTCTGTTTCAGTTCTGACCTAGTCATGCGGCCAGGTATCTTCCCAATGAAGACCACTCTTCTCTCCTCCTATGTTGGAACAAGGAAAATTGATACATCGTGACCCAGAGCTACCAGTGTAGGAGACAATCAAAAGCTCATGGCCCAGGGGCAAGCCCCATTCTCCCAAGACCTGTTCCTCTACTCACTATTGCACGCTCCTTCTGCAGCACTCTCTGCCTTTGGTAATGGTCATGTGAACGGTAAGAGCCGTACCTGACATAAGAAGAAGGAGCCATCAGCCCCCCAGACAGAGATACCTCAAGTCTCAGAACTCTCAGGCACTTGCATCCCAGATGCACAGACTCCATAATCACATACTCACCGCCGCCTCCTGTCACTTCTCCGTCGGGGTGATGGGGAGCGGGACCGGCTTCTGGAACTGGATGAGGAAGATGAAGATGAGGAGGAAGATGAAGAGGAGGAGGAAGAAGAGCATCTTCGGGAACGTCCAGAGGAACTGCAACTGGATCTGGAGGATAAAGGGGCAGGCGGGAATGCTGGGAGCGGTGCAGAAATATTCTACTTACTTACCTTACCTCAGCCCCAGCCTCGCCTCCCTGTCAAGAAGCTCAGGCCCAAAAACAAAGCAGAGCAAAAGAGGTCTAGAAGAACTCCACAGATGACAAAACTGAGGCCCTCATGAACTTTAGATGTATCTGGAATGTTTTAGAGTGTTTTGGCACAAATCATAGATCATAGTTATTTTCAATCATGCAATTAAAAAAATATTTAACAAGTTGGTAAGAAGAAAAATAAATGGAGACTCAGAGATAAAGGGCTGTGCCCTAGGTCTTACAACTAGTTGGGGGAGCCAGGCCTAGGTCTCTGGGTTCCTGCTCCCCTAACATGTCTCACAGCAGTGCTGTGACCATGGCATAAAAGGGAGGTGACTTGTTAGACCTGTAATAGAGATCATTTCTCAAGAGGTCATTCTGGTTCCAAAACCAGGAATTCTTCATTCATTAAGCAGGAAAATTTGGGTCTGTTACGGAGAAAAAGGTACTGCCCGAAAATATATGAGGCCACAATAACAAAGGAATTGTCCAGACTCTGTCCTCAACGGATGATTAGAAGAACTGCCATCAACAACCCACCATCCCACCTTCCAACAGTCCACCAAGAAAAGAGCAGAAGTGAGAACTGATATAGTATGTGACAGATTAAACACAGGCAAGATCCAACCCTAATGGTCTCCCCAAGGCAGGGCTCAAGGAAGCAGGAGACTTCAGGGATACCCCAAACTCAAACAGGGGATAGAAGCTATCTTCTCACAGCTTGCCTCCTTCAATAATTCAAGAAAGGGGGAGAAGACAAAAGCCAAGGACAGAAGTGGAAGCCTTAGAGTCTGAAAGTATCAAACTCAATATGCAAAAGCTTTCAAAGTAAACTGGAGGAGAGGACATGGACTTCTTACATGAAGAGGACCTAAGAGGCCATCAGAGCTCACCTTCGCCACCTCTTGTGTGGGGGGGAGAGGGACCTGGACCGGGACCGGGATGAGGAAGACGACGATGAAGATGAAGAGGAAGATGCTTCGCTGGTCCGGTTGGACCCAGAGCTGACAGAACGGCTGCTGCGGCCCCGACAGCCCTGCCAGCCCCGGCTTGGGGGGCTGGCTGACCTGCAGGCTTTCCGGTAACAGCGCACTGACCGCTGCTTGGCTGAGGGCTCGAGGGGAGTCCTAGTGTTCATGTCATTCCGGCAAGGCGAGGCCTCAGGGGACAGCAAGGCAGATGGGGCGAGGCAAGGAGCTGGGGGATCTGCCTGCTCACTGCTAGTCCTGTGATCAAGTGGCTCCTGTGAGGCAGCTGTGCGTGGGGGGAGGGGGATGACTGGGCCCAGAGACAAGACAGGTTTGATGGTGATGTCCTGATGGCGTTTGACGTTCCATCGGGAGCCCACCTCTGGAATGACTAAGGCAGGCATCTTTTTGGGGGGAGTCCTGCTCCGGACACAATAATCATGGTCCCCAGAGCCCACATGGACTGGACTAGGGCCATGGACCCCTTCTTGGAGGCGGGCTGCAGCTGGATGTTTGGCCTCTGTAACTCCTTCAGGCTTCAGGGTTCCCTCCTGGGCGGTAGACTTAGGAGATCTGGCTTTGGCCAGCAGTGAGACAGCAGCCAGGGGCTTCCATAATTGGTGGGGAGGGGTAGCTGGTGGGGTGAGCCCTGTGAGGGGAGGGAGGATGGAGATAGCAGGATGAGATCTGATTCTACACTTCTAAACACTGCGTACATAGGCTCCACAGACCCCCACCTCACGTCACAAAGTAACCAACAATAGTCAACAGCCCAACTTCTCCCACTGTTGCAACTACTCCTTCCCCCAAGTTCCCTATCTTGGGGACAAAGCAACAGACACCCAGCTAGCTAGGGTCCTCCTGAACCCCTCAACCTCTCACTGCCCAAACCTAGCTATAACCTAGCTATGACCAGCTCCTGCCTGGTCCACCTCTCCATTCTTAGACCCAGCCCTCCCCCCAGCACTACCTGATTTCAGGGCTGCATCTTGCCTGGATTCATTCATGTAATCATCTTCCAATAATCTCCTACCTCAGGCTTCACACTCATCTATCCTGTCTTCTACATTCCCACTAGAGGGAGCACCCCAAAATCAATTGCTTCCTAAATACACGAGATAAAGTCCAAACAAATTAACACGGCATTCAAAGTTCCCATAATCTGACCTCCTACTTACCACTTCAGCTTCATCTCTTGCTTAAGTTCTACCCACCATTCCCATCAGCCACTATATTCTAGCCAAACCAAACAACTCCCCCAAACGTACCAGACTGGTTTTGTTTCTTCCGTTCACTCCAGCTGCTCCATCTCCCTAGAATGCCCCATCCCCTAAATCTATCTGATTGGTAATCTATCTCATTACCAATCAATCTATCTGATTGATTTTCTCAAACCTCTGCTTCAAGGATTACACCTTCTATATATAACCCTCCCCTGACTGTCCCATCTCAGACCCCACAATAAACCACAAAGGCAGGGCGCCTGGGTGGCTCAGTGGGTTAAAGCCTCTGCCTTCGGCTCAGGTCATGATCCCAGAGTCCTGGGATCGAGCCCCGCATCAGGTTCTCTGCTCGGCGGGGAGCCTGCTTCCTCCTCTCTCTCTTCCTGCCTCTCTGCCTACTTGTGATCTCTGTCTGTCAAATAAATAAAATTTAAAAAATAAATAAATGAACCACAAAAGCTTCTTTAACATCTTTAACATACAATCTCTCTGATCATTGGCTTATACATCTGCTCCCTGGACTCTGAGAACCTCAACAATGAAGATCAAGAGCTCTGTATTCCCAACATCTACACACACCCAGTGCAGGGCAGGCTCTATAAACATTTGCTGCATACTAATCAAAGGCAGAGTTCCCCGCTCTGAACCCACCTGCCACGTTGGCCAGTTCTGGGGCTTGTAACCGGTCTAGGGGCCTCTTCTCCTGGGGAGTGTCAACGCTGCTGGCAGGGGGGAAAAGGGAAAACCTGGTTCATTGCCTCCTCAACATCTTGCATATCTGTTTTCCTTACAAAGGAATGGGAGAGGGGTGTATGCAGAGAAGAAGGGGATACAAGGGGCGCCTGGGTGGCTCAGTGGGTTGAGGCCTCTGCCTTCGGCTCAGGTCATGATCTCAGGGTCCTGGGATCGAGCCCCGCATCAGGCTCTCTGCTGAGCAGAGAGCCTGCTTCCTCCCCTCTCTCTCTCTGCCTACTTGTGATCTCTGTCAAATAAATGAATAAAATCTTTAAAAAAAAAGGGGGGGGGGGATACAAAAACTGCCCCTATTACTCTCCTCCAGCACAACAGGCTCTTAGTGACCGAAATGTGGACTGGGTCTCAACTCCACTCTGTTCAATTCTAGGAGGCAGGCTGGCTATGACCCTGAATAGCCCCCACTTCCTTTAAGCCAGGAACCTTGCCTACCTCACTCAAAACCCAAAATCAATGTGGATGGGTGCCTGGCAGAACAGGACAGGGTAGCATGAACATGATAAATGAAAAAAGGCCTCTCAGTGCTGGAAGACTGGGGAACAAGTATGTCCAGGGTGCATCCTTCAAGGAGTCAGGAGAGCCCTAGCCATGAACATCTTCCCCACTTGACCTTATACCTTATACCATCACCAGTGTTGAGCAAGCTTAAAGTCTGTTAAAGAAAGGAAAGAAATCCCCAAAGGCACAATTTGCCAGAAGACAAAAAGTACCTCCAGGACATTTGGAATCCCAGACTGGCATCAGCAGAGGATGGTACACATCCGCCTATCTCACCATCCAAGACAGTGTCCAATAGTGCTGGGCTGAGTGAGGTAACAGGGAGAGACTCTAAAGCTAACTGAAAGCCCCTGCAACACAGGCATCCAGTTGACAGTCCTGCAGCGCCAGCCAGCTGCTGACCAGCAACTGGAGAGTAACTCACTTGTATGTCTCTGTACTCACCCTGAGTTTCCTATAGCCAGGCTGTCAGCAGGAGCCGGGGGAGGGCATTCCTTTTTGGCTGCAAAGAAACCAAATTAGTGAAAAGGCCAACCAGATGTTCCAGACAGAGAAGGTGCAAAAGGGCTTGCTTTGAGGCCCAAAGAAGGAAAATCCACTTTACCTTCTTATTTCACTGGGCTCTCCCCCAGAGATCCACTGTCTGCTAGTAGGTATGCCAATACTGTTTTTAATCACGTCTCTGCTCAGAGACATCTGTTAATTACTCACTGAATCCGAGACAGAGCCCAAACTTCTAAGCCTAGCATGTGAGGTTCCATGTAACCTAACTTCCTGGACGTGTGGTCTATTTGTTCTACACTTATCATATTTCATATTTTTCCTTGTACTATATAGATATTTGTTACTAATTCAGGGGTCATTTCTGTTGTTTTCTTCCCCAATCAGACCATAAGCTCCTTGAGAACAGGACACAATACCCTCACAGTACCTAGGGCCCTGCTTTGTACTGAGAAAGCTGAGCTATCCCTTGCCTTCCAAACACACCACACACCATCCTTCCTATACCTTGGACTTTATTCCCCCCCACACACATCCTGCCTTTCAAGGCCCAGCTTGAGAGCTACTATCCTCTACAAAATGTCCCCAACCAACCTGACCCTCTTGGATCGCCACATCCATTCACTCTGGATAGTTCTTGCCATGCTGTACTACCACCCTCTCCCAGGCTTAGGTTGCACTGCAGTGAACCTTATCTCCCCACTCCTATCAGAATGAGATTAATTCTCTGAGACTGCCCCTCCACCACTCCCTTCCTTACATCTAAGTTAACTACAGGGCTGGACCCAAAGAAAATAGTAACAGAAAGGGGTTCAGCATAGCTACCCAGGCTCCTCACCTTCAGATTTCTCGAACTGCTCCAGTAGACTGGACAGGTCCGACGCCTCAATTCCTGTGGAAGCACAGAACACAGGATTGGAAATGGAAGTACCCAGGTCCTAGAATTCACCAATCACCTCCCTTCTCCCTTTATGTTCTCCCTGTCCACTATACTAAGGAAACAAAGACAGCAACAGAAAGCAGGAAGAAATCAAACCAATCCAGAGCTCTGGAGAATACTCCAAACAAAACAAACCATCCTCCAAACAAATCCACAAAGCCCAGCCCCATCAAGGTGGTCTGTCCCATTCTAGAGTGTGCTCACCATCTAACCCCCATGCCCTTCACTCACATCAACAAACTGTGCAGCACTTACCAATCTCACTGATGAAAGCCTGTACCACATCCTCAGGGCCTTGAGTACGTGGGGTAGGCAAGAAGGAGAGCTTCCTTAGACGGGCTGGGTGGACAGCAGGCAGCTTAGTTACAGTGCTCTGCTTTGATGTTGGTGTGGGTGTGGGAACAGCCTTGGCAACAGGAGAGGGGGGCTTCTCTCTGGGCCTGGTCTCCTGGGTCTCAGGATTTAGCCTCTCTGATACAGGCTCCTCAACAGCCACACTCTCAGCAGACAGACATGGTGGAGCCTTCATCTGGGGGCTTTGTACTGGGGAGGACACCTTGTGTTTCAGATGGGGAGACGCAGGCACTGATTTGACCTCCACCTTGGTGGGCTCCACCTGTGGAGCTCCCTGGCTAGCTGACCCAAGACTGAGGGGAGGAGCCACTGGCCCAGGAAGTACACTTTCAGAAGGGCCAGCTGGAATGCCACTGGGCTCCACCTTGGGTGGAGGAGCAGCTCTCCCAACAGATGCTAGAGGCAAAGGAGGTGGTGGCACAGTAGGCCAGAATGGAGGGTGTTGCAGCCCTGGGCCCCATCCCAAGGGCCCATAGGCACAGCTGGAGCTGTAAGGTGGGATTGGGGCTGGAGGGGGTACCCAAGGCACATTGCAAGTGGGGGGCACAGCATAGGTGCCAGGAGTACCAGATACTAGGGGCACTGTTGGTGGGGGGGGCAGACAAGGATAGCCAGAAGGGGACACAGGGGGATAACAAGGCCAAGGTGGTACAGGAGCATAGTGAGTATAGGGATCACGTGGCACTGGGCCCATAGACACTGGAAGACTGGGAGGCTGCAACGGTGGTGGGGGCAGACTGGGGATCCCTTGCCTGCTTGTAGGAAGGGGCAGCATGGGGGTCATGCCTAGCCCACCTGGGGGGAAAGGCAAAGCAGTGGGCATTGTGGGAGGCATGGGCTGCACAGTAGGAGGTGGGGGTCTTGCTGGTAGTGGCAGCTCTTGGGATGGCAGCTGCTCTGTGGGAGTTGAGGCCATAGCTTTGCTTGCAGGTGGTTCAGGACCAGGAGAAGCAGGACTGTGACCCACAGGCACAGAGCAAGCCTCAGGAGAAACCTCAGGGCTTCTCTGCAGACCTATCTTCTTGGATGGGGCTGGTGGGATGACAAGACAAGGGATGTCTGCTAGTCCTGTGGGGGTCTCTGGGAGACTGGGCCACTTCCCAGCTGGGGGCTGGGGACTTCTCTCTTCTGCCTCTGCTTGGCGCTGCTGCCTTCGTCGCCGGTACTCTGATAGGCTAAGAGGCCGAGGTCTGGCTTCCTGGGTTGTAGCACTGGTACCACTTTCTACCTTCAGAGGACCCACAACCTCCTGGACTTCAGGGATGATGGCCTTTAGGGAGTCCAAGGACTCTGACTCTGGAAGGATCTGGGGAGCTGGACTCCCCTGGACTGATGACATGGCACCACGTCTGGGATCAGAAGGCCTAGACTTAACTAGCACAGAATCAACTGGACCCAGGTCACTGGGAACAGAGTCAACTGGTGCCGAGCTCACTGGGACAGGGTCACCTGGTGGCAAGTCATCTGAGATGGGAACAACCACTGTAGAGTCAATTTCTGTTGAGTCAGCCAAGACTGGGTCAATCAGCACTGGGTCAGCTGTGAGAGGGTCCACCAGCTCTGAGTTTGCTGAATCATGGTCACCCAATGCAGGATCAACAGGTACAGGATCAGCTAGAACAGGATTAACTGCAGTAGGATTGGTTTCAACAGAGTCAAGTGGCATGGAGTCTGTTAGACCAGAGACATGGGTTGGAACAAGGTTGGCTTGGATGCTGTCAACCAGATTGGAGTAAAGGTCTAGAGGATCTTCTTTGTCAGGACTAGCTTGCCCAGCACTACTCTCCAAGTTCCCAGAGCTAGGTTTCTCCAAGGCAGCTGCCCAGGCCCGAGCCCAAGCCCGGGGCTTCCCTCTACTACGAGGAGGCCCAACCTCTCTTGGAAGTTCCTCCTGAGGCAAGTTTCCTGCCTGAGAGGTCACCTCTGTAGCCATGGTAGACTGCCCACGAGAAGCTGACCTCAGTCTCCTGGCATAGCCTTCTGCACAGGCTGCTGGCTGCTCTTTGCTCTTCTTCTTCCTGCCCTTTCGAGCTCTCTGGGAGCTCAGCATTGTGTTGGCCAGTGGGTTCTGAGGCCCCTTGGGCATCACTGGCTCCATGACCTCCCTGGGGTCCAACAAGCAGACTGACTCCAGTTTTTCCTCGGAGTCCACTGACAACCCCTCTTTCTCAGGGCAGAGGTCTTCCTTGAGCACAGGAGCCTCTGTCTCCGACTCTAGCGTAGGCATGAGAAGCTTCAAAGCTGGACTGGCCTCTAGCGAGTCATCCAGGAGCACAGGCTGGGGCCCAGCAGGGATCTGCCGTACCACAACTGGAATCTCCAGGTCATTACCAGCTGTGGCTGCCTGGCCCACAATCTCTAGCACCACACAGTCCTCAGGCAGTGTCAAATCATCCGGCTGCTCCTGAAGCTCATCCTCGAGTGATGTCAGCTGAGTGAGACTGGGCAGGCAGTATGGATGCATGGCCCGCACCAGCTCACTCAAGGAGGAGATACTCTCATCACCAGCTGTCTGCACTGCCATCTCTGCTGCTGCAGTTTTATCTTCCTCCTCGGGGCAGGCCAGGTGCATAGGGAAGTCTGGGATACTGCTCACAGAGTTGTCGAGCTCCCCAGCAAGCAACTGGCCGCTGAAGCTGGCCACCTCCTCCTCTTCTTCCCCATCACTACGCTGCTGGGGAGGAGGCGACTGGCCCCGGCGGGCTCTTGATCTTGGGGGTCTCCAGCTAGGAAGCTTAGGGGATGAGGTCTCTAAGAAGGAAGGTGGAGAGAAGTCCCAAGGAGGATCTGAGAGAGACATCTCAACCTGTAGGAAAGAGGAGAAGCTGCAGAAGTTTTCTCTGGGGATACATTTTTCTAGGCCTGTCCCCACACACTCCTCCCTCCTGGGAGTCTCTGAGGCTCCCTTGGTCAGGCTTACCCCACTCACTCTACTACTGCCTGTGCTGGGCCCCAATGGGTCAACCGGGGTGATGAGGTCACGTTCCGGGGGTGTCCGGGAAAGGGTGAGCAGCTTGTGTAGCTGAGAGGGAGGAAAAGACCTGAGATGAGTTGGTGCTTCACAACCATATGAGAAGGCCCACAGTCATGGCTCTATCCTTTGCAGCAACCAACACCATCCCACCCCCCAACGGCAGTCCCACACTCACAGAGGAGCCCTCCCGAGGTGACACAAGCAGTTCTGAGTCAGGAATGCTGTCAAACGGAGACAGGTTCTCGGAATCTGCATTGTCCAAAATTTCTGTCAGAGCTGTGAGCAGCGACACTTCATTCTGGTCCTCCAGAGATAACCTGCTCTGCTCCAGAAAGACAACAGGAAGGTTCCACCATCATCCCTAATGATCTACTGGCCACTGAAAAGGACTGAACACCAAGAGAAATAGTCTCCCAAGCTACGTTCAGCTCAATTTCCCAGAGAGGTCTGAATGACAGAAAGCATGGACTCCAATCTCATTCACTGCCATCTCCCACCTTCCTAGTGCCAAGACAGGCCTGTCAGAATTGAGACTAGGCTTATGTTTCACATACTCCCTCCACCCTCGGGGATGATGTGGATGCTCAACAGACAACCCTTGGCTAGGCTGGAATTGGACTCAAAACAAATTGGAACTCTCTGGACATGTAAGATGGGGGCCCATGCAGGGGAAAAGGCCTTGGACTATTGTGCAAGCCTGCCAGGGCATCCTCGCATTGGACATGGTCTAGCATCCTACAGCCCAACTCTCACTGAGAGACAAAAAACACACTTCAAGGACTTGGTTTGGGTATCCAGGAACCAAAATCCTGGGAAAACAGAACCACTGAGCCACAGCCTCAAATGCAAAGCTCCCACCTGAAGACATTTAAGCCCAGCCCCAGCTCACCTCCCCAAGGCTCCCAAAATCCTCGATGAGGGAGATGAGGGAGGCATCCATGTAGCTCTGCATGGTCCCCAGCAGTGTCTCATCCTGCAGTATCAGCTCCTCCATCTCCAGGTCCTTGTCCCTCAGGCAGGGGCCAAGCCGAGACAGACTGACAAAACCAGAATCATCCCCCTCCTCGTGCAGCAGCACCTGGGGCAAACAGGATGGTCATAAGGGCTGCAAGGTATGGGACCTCTGGGGTAGCTGTGTGACAGGCTCTCTAAACCAGGAGCTCCACCAATCACCTCAGACTCAGCTGAAGCCCCATCAAAGCCAACCAAACCTCTGGACTTGCTGGGCAGAGAGAAGTACAACTCAACCCATGAGCCAAAACACCAGTCAGGATGGCAATGTTCTGGGCAAAAAAAAAGTTTGGCCTTCATCCAGAAACAGCTGGAGCCACAGATTATTAAACTAGGGAGTAAAAACATGAGAAAGATCAAAATTGTTCAGAAAAGTTGTCTGCTGGCAATGGTAAAGGCAGACAGTCTGAGGGGTACACCAAAGGAGAGGTGGTCAGCAAGGAGGCAATTTCAGCTCCAACCACCTTACTTTCCTCAAGTCCCACTCAGGCCTTTCTCCTCTGCTTAGCTCAAACTCAACCTTGTTCAAGACAACTCAGACTTCCCCAACCCATGCTGATCTCTCCTCATACCCAATCCAATTAGGTTTCTGTAGCACTCATTTTCTGGCAATCATTATATTCTTTGCATCATTACTAAAACCGGATTCTAAGTTCCTTTGGGGCCAAATAACCTTTTGTACCATACTAGCCTATATCCTTCTTGGAACTTGGAAGGGTTTAAACTGTGCTTCTACTTCCTGATGATCTATGATGCCTGGCACAGTGTCTTATACAGAGTTAACATACACACTTAATTCACATTTTTTTTTTTATTTTGAAGGCCCTACAACATGCCACTCAATCTATCAGTGGTAGTCCCAAAGGAAAAGTTCCCCACCTCAACCATGTGAGCACAAAAGAGAAAACCTGATTCGCTGATTCACTGCATAGAAAAGCCCCACCCCACTACTTGCCTGAAAACTAGCAACATCCTCAGCCTTGACAGTCAGGGAGCCACCCGCCCAGGCCTGTCAAGAGCGCCCAGGCCTGTCAAGAGCGTGGGTGTGGGCAGGGCCAGAAGTAGCTAGAAAGGGGCTGGCAAGGCCAGAGGCCAGAACCAAAGGTATCTCCACTATAGGAAACAGATGATGATGGCCAAAGAACAGGAACAAACAATGACAAGCTAATGCCCCATCCCCTTCTGCAACTCTGTACCTCTTCCAAGGGGGGAGGAGGAAGGCAACAAATGTGACTACAACCCCCTACCCACCATCCTAACCAAGATGAGAAGTTAGTTCCAATGCCCAGAGAGAGGAAAGGCTAGATACATTTTAGGAGGCCAGCTCCAGAGAGGAAGTGAAAGGTGGCGAGTTTTTGGCACTAACTCCTCCCAAGCCTTCACAATCCTGTAATTACAACCAGCAGTTGAATAGCACCTAGCTCAGCAAACACTCCTGCATGAGCAAGGACGCTGCATCTCAACTTGCCCTGCCACCTACCTGACCCAGCCACTAGGCCAGAATCTTAAAACAATGCCCAGCTCTGGGACCCACTCACCACCCCCATTAGGCAGGTACCGGAGCCCCAATTACAGATACCCCCTCTCTTCCCCTGACATCACCTATCCCTCAATCCCCAAAGAGCACAGCACTCAGACTACCAAAATCATCTAGGAGCTAAACCCAGGCTAAAAGCCAGCCACCAGCATCCCTAACTTCAGCAACTTCCCAACTGGCTCTCTCACACGCAGTCTTGTCCCTACAGGGTTCAAAACCAACTACAAACTATTAAGAACACACATCTGATCACTTTTTAAGGTTCTCCCTAAACCCCTCCAATGGTATCTTACTGCTCTTAGCACTAGATTTAAACTCCTTAATATGACTTACAGTCTTCCCAACCAGGCTCCTCTGCTCCACTATGTGTTCTCTCTTACCGCTGGACCTCTCTCTCTATGCAACAGACATACAGGTCTCTCCATTTCTTCAATAAGCCAGGTTCTCTCCCACTTCAAGGCCTTCCTATACTATTTCTTCTGATGAAAGCTTTCCTCCCCCACAACACACAGCCTTCAAGCCTCAACTTAAAATGTCCTTTCCCAGACCCTGCTCATTATACAAGCCCAAATATGCTGCACTTTCCTTTTGTCCCACTCATCATTTATTATCTGTCTATCCCAATAAAACCATATGAGCCTAGAGACCAGGGACTATGTGTTGTTTACCCCAGGATCCCTTATGTCTGAACATAGTATCTCAATAAATATTGGTTGACTGACTAGCTTCCACACATCCACCTTTCTTAGGGGGGAGATGAGAGAAGAAACAATCTCTCCACGAGACCCTCTCCAACCCCAGACGACCACCTAAATTGGATTACAGCTGGGCCATGGATCCTTCCTGCCTCTCCCCTAAAAGGTGAGCAGCTCCCAAGCTAGGGCTTCAGAAGCAAGGGCCCGGACTGGTCTGCTGGAACTAACATTACCTGGTAGCCTGCAGCCCAATTCCCACCTAGAACCAAAACCAAACCCAAGCTAAACAAAACAACCAAAAGCTTTCAAGGACTCAGCTTAATTGCTTAAGAGATAACAGTTCAGACTAAGTCCTGCCCACCATTCTAGGTGGCAACTTTTAAGAAGCCCTCTGCTGAGGAGTGAGATAACACTTTCTAAGTATGGAGAAATGAAGACCAAGGAAACAGAATCTGACAGAAGAAGCCACCCCCATCCAATAAATGTTCCAACTAGTGTTGAATGTTCTTAAATCGCCTCCAATTTTTCCCGTCCCTAGCAAAATTCCAAAGAGTTATTTAAATACAGATCACCTCAATTTTTATGTGTCAGTTCACAGAAGCAAGCCTTAGCTGCTTCCTCAAAAGAGAAGCTGAAGGAAAAACGGAAAGAGAAAGGATTCTTTCCCTTACTTAGACTTGTCCCATGTATACGTTGACACTCCCCGTGCACCTTGAATCACGAAGAGCCAGGTCCGCAGGCAACCAAAACGCCAGTGCCCATGACTCACAAGCCACCACAAGCCGGTCAGACAGAAGCCACCACAAGCTTACTCCACAACCCTTTAACCTCAGCCTTCTGCCCTCCCCAACACACTCCACCATCCGCAGGGAACTGACTCCCCGCACATCTGGAAGGTCCTTCACCGTTCGCTATCGAGGGGCCGTGGACAATGCAGGAGAAAAAAACTACTCCAAGACCCTGGCAAAGTTGACTCTACCAGCCCCTACCTTCCTTCCCGGCCAGGGGCCCCCAACCGGGTCGGAGATGGCGGGACGGGCTGAGACACACCCAGTTCCCAGCAGTGCGGCTCCAACGCCGATACGAGATGCCCGGCAGCCTGGAGCGGGAGCCACGTGGACATACCCTCCCCGCCCCCACGTGGACCCGCGGGCCACCCCCCCCCAACCAGAAGCCCAACCCACGTGGGTGCCAGAGCCGCCTAGAGGGGGAGGGGAAGCCGACAAGTTCTCCCGGGAAAATTGCTCCCCCCACCCCACGTGGCTTCGAAAAGGCACTGCAGCGCGGTGCTAGGAGCATCCCCACTCGGCATCCTTAGAGAGAGGTTTTAACCCTGGATTCCAAGTCCCAATCTCTGACCCCCAGAACGGACCATGTTTCCAACACCCGTCTGTGCCCCTCCGGCGTTCCGAAGGAATGGCTGTGGGGACCCCCGTCTCTGCCTGCGTCCCTCCAGCAAACAGCCCAGGTCCGTTCGGCCCAACCCGTCTCCCGCAGCAAGCCGGCATCGCCTCCCAAGCGCTTCCTCCCTTTCCTGTGGCGTCCACGTGTCACCGCCCGGCACACGCCGCTTTGCTGCCAGCCGCGGGCCGCCCGCCAGCCTCTCACCTGCTCCCCGCCACTCACAGAGCCCACAGTCCCATACGGCGTTTGGCTCCGACTTCCCCAACTGCTGCCGCGGACTCCACCGCCGGGGTCAGGTCCGGGGCCCCCACTCAGAGACGGCGCGACTCCGTCTCTCCGTCCCCGGCGCGCCGCCATCTTGGCCGCTGAACACCCAGCGCAGCTCTGATCGCCGGCGCCGCCTCGCCCAGCAGATTGTGAGAAGGGAACTACAATTCCCGGAAGACACTGCAAAACTACGGATCCCAAAAGGCCCTGCGGCGAGACCCACTCCCACCTGGGAAGAGGGCTCTGGCTTCGCAAGGGACCCTGGGAATAGTAGTTGCTTTAAGTGGTACCTCAGTGGCACGTGCTACAGTAATATCGTCATGCTCAGTTTCGTGTTCTGTGGGTTGGGGAGCGTGCGGTAATAAAGGGAGCGTTAGCATTTACACATCTCTTTATTTTCCTAATTTGTCCAACTGTCCAAACGCCCTCTTTATCTGACATTCTATCGTGCGGCACTTTCCTTTTACGACGTAGCACAAGTGCACCTATGCTTTGAGTCAGCACCCCCTAGTGGGCACCCGCACCCCAGGAGCTAATTTTGACCTAATCTCTTATTGCGCCACTACCGCTAGTTTAATCTTTTGTTGTTGTTATAGTTTAATCTTCCTTTATTTCTAGTTTCATTAGGAAATATTTAATATACACCACTGTGTAAGTTTAAGGCATGTAATATGATTGTTTGATTTTCAAATGCTGTGAAACGATTAGCACCATAGATAGGTTCAGCTAACCCATCTTCTCACATAGGTAAAATTCTTTTTCTCCTTGTGATGAGATTTACTCTTTAACAACTTTCCTATATATCATTCAGCAGTATTAGCTATGTAATGTTGCACATTACCTATCTACTACTAAATTATCTTATAAATGGAAGTTTGTAGAGCTTAATCTTAAAATACATTCTTGGGGTCTCTCTGGGCTACTCAGAAACCTACACTGACACCTCATTACCAAAGGTATTTCCTGCTGCTGCACAGTATCTTGCTGTCCAACAAAGACAATTGGTGTTGTCCTGCGTTTGTTTTTCTGTTTGGAATATTCGAACTTGGATACATCTTTCATGCCCTCTTTTATCCAGGAAAACTTTCTCATTATCCCAACCAACCATGATCCCTTGCTATATTTCCACAGCTCATCACTATCACTGCTAGTCATTCATTTGCCTTTTAGAAGCTCATTCTTACTGTTTCCTCGTTTTTAAAAAAAGTTTTCTAGGGCACCTCGGTGGCTCAGTTGGTTAAACGACTGCCTTTGGCTCAGGTCATGATCCTGGAGTCCTGGGATGGAGTCCTGAATCAGGCTACCTGCTCAGCAAGGAGTCTGCTTCTC